CTCGGCTCAGCCCTGGCCCGAGGGCAGCAAGTGAACTCCCCCTTGCAGCTCCACACCCGGCAGGCAGGCAGGCGGCACTCAGCTCCTGCGAGTTTCACTTTTATTGCCCGTGTTTATTCAAAAGTAGAAGCTGCTCGCCCTCTCCTCCTCTCCTCTCCTCTCCTGCCCGCCCGCCCCCATTAGGGTTGCCGCGTCCTCTGGGAATGAGCTCCCCAACGGGGCACCCTCGCCGGCCACCCCTCACTCCTCTCCTCGTTCGAATCCTGCCCCCGGTTTTCCCAGGGGCTCCATGGCTTTAGAGGCAGAATCAGGGCAACTTAATCGGAAGCCAGTTAGTGGTTAGTAGAAGCATCTTTTGGAGGAGAGCAGTAAAATTCCTCTTTTTGCAATTGCTTGTCGTTTATAATCAGCGATGCTAATGGCACTGGTGAAGAAACCCTCCCAAGGGCTGGGAAATGGGTGAAGGAGCTTCTCTCCCCCCAACAGATAATCCTAAGGAATGACTTCACGGTGGGGCAGGGGAGAACTGGACTGCAAAGAAGGCCCCCAAGCAGCCTGTCCTGGGGAGGGAGTCGCTGTTGAAAAGGAAGTTTATCCTGGAAGGAGGCCTACTCCCGAAGAACCACGGCGGGTCACGCTTCCACTCCGTTTTGAGCATTTTTGTTAAAGGCATCTAAAAGGGCTTGTTTCAACCATTTCGAGCACAAAACTGGGCTTGAGAGCAGGCTGTCCTGGGCTTGAAACGCCTCCAGAATGCTCAAACCACCCATTTCAAACTCAAATTGGGAGCTTCGCAAAACGTTCACGATCAAAATGGTTCACAAACTGAATACACTCCCCAGTTCTTGGTACGCTGGACTGCAAATCCTGTCGCTCTTGCCCACACGGTTAACCACCACCAAACTGGCCCATGATGGAGGCTTGGGGGGTGCCAGGCTTGGTAACGCCAGCGCAGAGTCTTGGTTGAGGTTAGGATCGCCTTGTAGTCCAAAGGCGCAGAGAGAGAGGGGCCTGTCCCAGACGTTTCTTTTGCCCAAAGTCAATGCCCGTTTCCTTTCAGCAAGGAACCCATCCTCTGCCTTTTGCCCAAGGAAACGCACAAAAATATTTCTGGCTCCGGGAACCCAGGGGAGAGCTCAGAAGAAGGCCCTGTGTCTCCAGTGCACAGGAAGAGGTCCCAGAGAAGCCAGCTGAGAGACCCTTGCTTTCTCCAGTCCCATCAAGACACTCCCATGAAAGTTGTCCCCAAATGGAAGACACTCGTGTCCTGAAGTACAAAGAAGAAGCAGTCCCTGATGTTCCTCTCCAGTTACAGCAACCCTTCTTAGCTGCCCCAAATTTATTCTTCTCCCCCCATGTTCTGAAGGCTCTTCAGCAAAGCCACACTCAGCACGACCTCCTTATTTCTTCCCCACTCCAGAGACAAGGCACGTTTTTGTTCTTTGATGACCTGGGCTTTAGGGCCCACTGCTGGCCACTTACAGCTCGGTACAGGTGACAGGGGTCAGCCCATGGATCAGCAAGGTTGGCCCCAGGCCAGAGGTTAGAATCTCCAGCTGTTCCAAGTAGCGCTCGTATTGAGAGGTGTCCGCAGGAGGCCGTGGCAGATAGAGGAACCGCACAGCTGTCTGGCCACCTTGCTTCAGCAGTAGACCATTGACCGAAGTCAAATACTCATCTGTTACACAGAAAGTGGCTGCGTTCAAGGAAGTCTCCCCCAAGAGCTTCTCCGTATTGGGAGGACAAGGTGGGCCTTGAACCTCAGAAGTGGTTGACCTCCCAGTCCCCACGTGCTGGTGGTGGCCATGGAGGGTGACCACTTGGTCCCAGGTCACAATCTTGATGGTGGCCTTAATTCGCAACTTGGTCAGCAACTCCCGCAATTTCTCCTCCTTGCTGACCCAGCCCACATCACCCGACTCCACACAGAGGAAGATACGCAGCCGGGCACCTTTCCAGGAGTTGACCATGGTGAGGATGCAGGCCATCTGCAGGAGAAAGAGGCTGCAGATGTCCACATAGGTTGGTGTGTTCGGGCGCAAGAGGTTGAGGGGCCAGACATCAATGTAGCGGCCTTCAAGACGCTTCTTGGAAGCAGAGGATGATAGCAGGTCCTTCTCCAGAAGATGGAAGTAGCGGGCCAGGCACACGTTCTTATGCATCTTCACCGCGTCCGAGATAATGGCCACGTACTCAGATGGTTTCACAGCCCGCTGGTTGGCTGTGACCCGCACTGATGGGAAGTGGGCTTGGAGCGCTGCCAGGTCCACCCCAAACTCGTCATTCTCCCGGGCTTGGCTGAAGGCTGGGTCCTGCAGGAAGTAATCTTCAGGGACGCAGTCATCGTAGAAGCCCAGGACGAGCGTATTGGGCTTCATCCCCCCTGCGTGGACAAGAAAGCACACAAATCGTGTCAACCTCTGGGGGAGCAAATGGTCTCACCAGGTTCAGGAGAGAGAGAAAACCTGGGTTCCCCCACTGCACTAACCCAGGCATGACACAGCACATCGACCATGGTTTATAATCCAGGGCCCCAAGGAAACACAGCCAACATTTTGTTCTATTGAACAAGGAAAGCTTGGCTTAGTGTGGTAGATGGCTCCAGTCAGAAAGACAGGAATACTCTCACCACATCAGCTACCAATGTCCCCCCCGCCTTATTATTGAGCAACCCTTGATTTTCCCCCTCCTTCCGGAGGCCCTGAATGTGGCTACCAAGCGAAGGACAGGGACTTGGGTCCAGGAGGCCTAGTATGGTTTGGTTCCCCAACACATCTGGCTCGTCTGTTGATGGGAAGGAGCAGGGCTGCCTGGGGGAGGGCGTGGGGTGGCGTGTGGCCCCTGGGCCCATTAATGCATGTCTTTCCTGGCGTGCCCTCCATTCCCAGGGGCTCTGCGGGGCAAACAAGGTCAACCTCAACTCAGACAGAGTACTAACTCCCAAACTCCAGGGACGTATAACAAAGTCAAAAAAATGTAAAACTCTTTACTCCCCAATACATCTGGAGCTCTACCCACCTAGCACAACCCCCACCCCCCACCTCACCTAAGCCAGTAATCCGGAGCAGGTGCTGGGTTCCCTGCCGGACCGACGGAGACAACGTCAGATCCACAAAAGCCTTGATGTTGAGCTTATCCACCAGACTGAGCCAGAAGTTGTAGTGAGCCTGGATGGGATCCGAGGGCATCGTGTCTGCAGGAGGAGCAGCAAAGGCTGAGCAGGCCATTGCCAAGACCCACTGGGAGGGCAGGTATCTAGGCCAAAGGGACAAAAAGGGCTCTGGGGGCAGCCCCCAAGCTGTGCCAGACACCTGCCCCTGCCGCTGGGTCTTTCTGAACCCCACTGAACGCATCCAGGACACGTGGTGTCCCTCGGAAGAGGAGCACCCAGGAGTAGGCAGGCCATCCGTGCCCCTGTCCAGGTCCCCTACCCAAGTCCCCGATCTCCACGTGCCCCAGGACAAAGAGGCCTCCTTTCTTCAAATGGTTGATGAACCTCATCAGCTGGGATCCACCCCGCGGGTTGGCCACCATGAGCAAGATCTGCGGCCGCCAGAACTTGACGTGATCCTTCCGGATGTCGAGCAGCAACAGGTACTTCCGGACCTTTGGGGGAGGAAGAAGAGGGGAAGACATCCAGGCTGGAAAGAGCCCCCCCGTGAACCCCACAGGAGACATTTTCCCCTCGCCTTCAGCTTTGGCCGTACATGCTGCGTTCTTCTCCACTTGGTCACTAAAGTAGGTCTTGTTCTGCTTTTACAATGCCTGCTTTGCTCCCGCCCTCTGCATGACATGCCTCAACCATTAACCACGAGGCCCCCTTGATACCCCCAATTCCCCAACCTGCATGGATCTGCGTGGCCCTTTCTCAAAGCAGTCTCACCTTCCTGCTCAGTCGGCCTCACCTGGCAGCAGAGTGGTGCTGTCAGTATCTCCAGCCCTGAAAGGAGCCGCTTGCAGGGATGAGGCAGACCCTCCCTCACTGCCGCTGGAGCAGGCCCCCCACGTTTTATGCCCCCTTGGCAGAGGGTGAAGCTGGCACCCAGCATCCCCAGCCTGAGGCTCCTCTTCAACGGAGGGTCAGCCCCCCACCTGCATCGCACCTGGTGGAAGATGAGTGCCTGGCTGATGTAGCCCCAGGAGGAAGCAGCTGAACGCAGGTGGATGAAGCCCAGGAGAAGCAGCATGAGCCCCAAGCTTCCAGAGGCGCCCGCCGGGCTGATCAGGAACATCATCACCAAGCAGGAGACGATGCCAAGGAGACACGTGTGCCAGGAGAAGAGCTGGAAGGTAGGGCTGCGGAGCCAAGGGAGGGCACATGGCTGGCAAGGTCCCTTCCACCCCATCCCTCCTAGGATTCAGGGGGCGAAGGGCACAGCCAAACCCACAGGCCCCTGCGAAGAGGCCCTGGCACGCCTGTCACCCCGAGGCAGAGAGTCTCCCTCTCGGGCAGCTTCACCCACCGGAAGTTGGGAGCGGAGGCCCACTCGAGTGCCAGGCAGGCCAGGTCCACGGCAGCGTAGGCAACCAGGTAGAAGACGGTGACGATGCCAGCAATGGTGTTCAGCTTCCCGACCAGGAGCACCAGCTGGGGAAGAAAGAACTTCTTACAAGGGCCAGGAAAAGCCACCCCAGCTTCTCCCCAGCCCCTCCAGCCAGCAGGCAGGTCCCTGTGCAAGCCCGGCTTCCATCCTCGGCCCTTCGCAGCTTTGCCCTGGCCCTGGCTCTCAGGACTCCCTCTGGCCCGACTGCCCGCTTAGGCCCAGAAGGGGACAAGCCGTTTGGCGAAAGAACGGGACAAGCAACGAATGATATTTCGCCCTTGCAAGCCTGCATAATTAGAGTCTCTTTTGTCTCATTCTTCTCTGAAGTCCCCAGGGTCGTGAGTATGGGCTGGGGGCTGAGGGAGGAGACCCTACCTGCGCGAGGCCCCAGGTGTACAGGACGGCCCCCCAGGGGTTGCCTCCCTTGGAAACAATCTTGGCTGGAGCCAGGACAGCCCCTGCAGCGAGAGAGAAGCAGCGGCTAGATGGAGCCCCCGGAAGGCCGCAGGGAGGGTCCGCCAGGGGGGCTTTGAGGGGTCACTCACCAAACAGGTCATCCTTGGCCAGGGCGTGAAGGATGCGGGAAGCGCCAATGAGGTTGCTCATGGAAGCCGAAAGGGAGGCGGAGTAGATGCCCATCAGCACGAAGGGCGGCCAGACGTTGATGGCCCGGAAGAAGCCGTAGTCGCCTTTCAGCAGGGCTCTGCGGGCAGGCCAGATGGGGGCTTCGGCTTCTCCTCTGCCAGAAACCCTCCCCTTGACGAGCCCCACCCAGATGCACTGCCCCACCCCTTCACATCACTCTTGGCCTTCCCCCTCCCCCCGTGCTTTGGGCGACCCAAGAGCCAGCCTCGGGTCCGGGCCCCCGGGTCTGCAGCTGAGCTGAGAGCGGAAAAGGCGGCTCCTTGCGCCGGTCCTCTGGCTTGCAAGCCTGCCGCGGGTCGCTCTCCACGTCCCCACTCACCTCTCGCAGGTGAAGCTGGTCATGAAGAACAGGAAGAAGTAGATGACGAACGTGTACAGGACGGCCACAATGGTCCCCTTGGGGATGGAGGCACTGGCGTTCTTCAGCTCCCCTTGGAAGAAAGAACCAAAAAGGCTACGTTCCCCTCCCCAGCCTCCCCAAGGAAGCCCTCCGAGGACCCCAAGCCCCCCAGGGCCCGAGCCCCTCACCTGACATGTTGGAGCCGGCCATGATGCCCGTGCAGCCATTAAACATGACGGCAAAGACGGTGGCGAAAGACATCATGTTGTTGGTGGTGTAGTCCCGCGAGTACATGGCTGCAAGGGGAGAAGCCACACCATCACAGGGGGCGCAGGAGACGGCTACCTCCAACCCCCCAGCTGCCTATGGCCCTCCTTTCCTCTGCCTATGCCCCTGCCTACCTCCTTGCAGCTCCCCATCTTGGCCAAAGGACAGCCCAGCCTTCCAGAGGGAACTGGGCATCTCCTCCCCAGTTGCAGTGGACCGCTCGCCCCTCGCCCAGGAATGCCAGGGCTGAAAGCGGGCCCTCAGCAGCCTCCCTGGGGCAGAGAGGTCAGACCCGTCGCCCCCCTCCCCCAACCTGGTGGAAGCGGTCCTGGCCTTCCCTACCGTACAGGTTGTCCCTGAGGGTGGAGACGTTGAAGCTGGTGAAGGAGGCATTGAGGCTCTGGTTGCCGTTATGAGAGATCACGATCTCCCGAGGGGAGACGGTGAAGAAGCTGACGAAGATGGTGACGAGGACCAGGTTGACCAAGAGGAAGATGAAGAAGGCAGCCCTGGAGTAAATCTGGGCTCCCACCAGGCACACCAGGAGGCAGAGCAGCAGCACCAGGGAGCTGTAGAGGAAGCTGTACAGGTAGCCCTGCGGGAGGGTCTTGGCGCCAGGCGGCTCCGATCCATCTGGGCAGGAGGAGGAGGAGAAAGGGGTGCTAAGCAGGGGCATGCTCTCGTGCCCGGCGCAGAGCTGGCCAGATGGCCTGCCCTCGCCCTCCGCCCGGCCCTGGGAGTCCGGCTTCTCCCAAAGGGGCTTGGGGCCCACCTGCTCCAAAGACATCCAGGATGGCTTCTACCAGCCCAAGGACGTAGACGCCGCAGGCGCAGACGTTGGCCAAGTAGAACATGAGGCCAATGCTTCCCCCAAATTCGGGGCCCAGAGTCCGGCTGATCATGACTTGGGGGGGAGGGCAGTTAAGGCAAAGTTTCCATGAAAAAGAAAGGGAGACCCCCTCAGAAAGAGACAAATGGCCATCTGCAGAAGCAGGGTTGGAGACTCCTGAGGCCATGGGGTCTCTCCCTCGTGCTGGCCTTTTGGGGCCCTGGGTGGGGCCCCTGGGCAGCCCCCCATCCTCACCCTCTGCCTGCAGGTTGCTCAGGCAGCAATAAGGGACTTTAAAAGGGGCTTTGAAGGAGCTGAGAGGCACTTTGAATCCTCAGGTGAGATGCCCAAGTCCCGCATCAGAGGTGGGCTGGGGGCACAGCCTGGGCTGAGCTCGTCCCCCTTCTCCCAAAGGAGCAAGGATCCCAGGGGCCCCGTCTCCTCCTCCAAAGCTCAGCCGGTCCATGGTCTGGGGGAGCAGGGGGCACACTCTGTAACTCAGGCCGGGATTGGGACGTGCCAGCACCGGAAGAGCTAAGCAGGGTTGCACCTGGCTGGTACTTGGACGGGAGACAGCCGCAAATCCCAGGATTGCAGGCCAGGCGGGAGGGAAGGTAGTGGCCAGACACTTCTGCGTCGCGAAGCCACCCGGAGTCAAGACTTGGTGGCCGCTTTCTAGGCCAAGCAGCTGCCTGGCCTCTGGCCGGGCCCTTCCAGCTGGCCCCGGGCCCAAAGGATACAGTATGCCCCGCCGGCCTGGACAGCTCCGTTGGTGGAGATGGCGCAGACGGAGAGCACCGTCAGGGAGATGATCAGATAGGCCACCACCAGCATCAGGAGGGACTGCAGGAAACCGGCGTGGCCCACCACGAAGCCTGCAAAGAGCGAGCCGGTCGGGAGGGGAGGGGCGGGGCGCTCTGGGCTTGGCCCACCCCCCCTTGGCCCTGAGCGCAGTTTTTCTCGGCGGAACAGCCGGAGCTCGGCCAAGCCGCCCTGGCGAACCTGACCCCGCCCCG